TAAGTGCATAAAACCTTTTATTACCTTACAAAGAATGTGGGATTTTTAAAAAATGGTGATTGGACAATATTATTTTCCTGGTATCAGGAGGTTAAAGTGAAGAGGGTGACAAACAACCAAGCGTGAAAGGATAAGGGTGCCGCCGTGACGAGCGAGGAAGGTTGGACTTTGGTAAAGTTCTGTGGACTCATTTTATTTATTTTTCCATTAAATACATAGAAAGTCGTTTTTATTGTAGAATTTTTTTTTTTCCTGTAAATTGTGATTCCACTTTTCATCAAAGTCCCGGGTTGAATTTCAACGCCAGTCCGGAGTTAAAATAATATATTTTTGACTTTTATAAGAGAAGACTCAGCACTGGGTCGAAGTATAAAACTGGACTGAAATCAATCTAAAACAAAGTCGTTTTCTAAAAACCTATTTTAGCGTAGTAAAACAAACATTTTCTAAAATTTTACACACTCAAAAAAAAGAAACAAGTTGGATGAAACAAAAAACCAGGAAGGTATGCTACCTTAATGCTTCTTCGGACTAAATAGGAACATTTTTAAATTAATTAAAGGTTTTTTAAAAATAAAAGCATTGCGTGAGTGCTCTCTTACTTTTATGACTTCTTTGTATTCAATCTTATACGTTTAGAAAAGAGGAAATACCACAAACAAATGTGTATTAAAAAACATTTTTATTTTGACGACTTCACTTTACAAGATCAAGGTTTACAAAGTTTTACTTTGTAATAGAAAATAAGCAAAACAATAAGCCAAAGCACAAATCTATTAATGATTTTAGTCTTTGACTTTTCTTTACAATATATTTCACTAAGCTGTTCTTAAAGTACATAAAATAAAGTTTCTAAACGTAAACTTCAGTACAGGGCCTTATGTTTAGCATAAAATATTTAGATTTCACAACACAAAACATTTAATTTTACTATGTTTAGTTTCTAGTTCAAATATTACTTGAAATAAAATAAAACTACGAATAACTTTGCAGCAAGATAGGAGCTCATTTAAGTAAATTATTTGTATTAAAGATGCCATACTTCTCTGGATACTTCTGATTTATTTATCATTTTTATTTAAAGGTTTAGAAAAAGTTGTGTCTTTTTTTTTAGGACACATGCCTGTTGATTTCAGTCCAGTTTTAGAAATTAGATCAAAAATACCCAAGTTGTGCTTTTAAGTAATTTTTGCTAAGAGACGGGACGTTTATAAAAACCTGGAAATCCTCTTTAAGCACCTTATCAGGTAAAAAGTCCAGTCATCAGTTGGGACTGAATGTTGTGCGCAGCCTCAGTGAGGAGAAACCCGGCGGATGGACAGAAACTCACTGAGGTTGTTGAGGCTTCGCTCCAGGTCGGAGAAGCTCCTGACGGCCCGGTCCGGGTCCGGGTCCAGCTGCCTCCCGGTCCTCTCCCTGGCCTCCTGCCCGGTCCGCAGGAACATCCCCAGGTAAAGCAGGAGCCCCACGCACCCCGCGATCAGCACCGGCCGCTTGAAGGACACCGCTCTCATGATGGAACCGAAGCGAGACTGGAAGCAGCCAGCCTGCAGTACCGACTAAAACCTACGAGCTTCCTGCACCGACAGGTTCTGCAGGTACCCGCTGCTGCTTTGGCAGTGATGCGCTGCGGCGCGCAGGTGTGTCTAATCAACAGTGACGTCAGCTCAAATGGGGCGTGGCCTAGAGGTTATAATTAAACGTCTCGGCCACCGTCAGGAGCCTGCTGGTCAACTTCACACAAACATAACTCAGAACGTTCTCCAGTTCCAACAATCAGGATGACGCAGAAACCAACAGGGTGCGACGGGTTCGTCCCACAAGTATTCATACCCCTGAACATTCAGGCAGGTCACTCAGGTTTATGTTTTTAACTCATAAAAAGCTAAAAATTATGACGTATCCCTTTACACTCAAAAAACTACTGGTTCAATTTACTTAATACAGTTAGTAAGTGTCAACAATTCCCACAAAACTTAGATATGTTCAGTATAAATAAATATAAAAGTATTTCATTATGCTGACTTTGATATTTTTTATAAGTGGAGTTTAACTGTATTTAATAAAACCAATGAAAAATATCACTGAGTTTTGCTTTGTTTCACTCATTTTAATTAATTTAGCAGCAGTAGTTTTATTTGACTTAGTTTTATTTGATGTCCACACAATGTAAATCAAATTACACCACTTTCATTTTATGGAACAAACATTTATTACCTTTTCATAACATTTATGTTTAGCAGTGATGCTGCTAAACACAGCAAATCTTTCCATCTTCTTCCTTCCACAAGAGAAAGCAACAACAAATATTTGCAAGTAATTTTTTTCTGACGTGAGGATTTGTTTTGCCCCATTTGGGGAAAAACTGAGAGCGTGACTCAAAGAATACAATTTGTGTCTTTTCCTGAAGAATTTGAAGAAGAAGTGTTTTGAATTTGGGAAAGACTGAAAAACATCTGCAGTTACAAAACTCCTCTAGGATTTTTCTCTACAACTTTAACTTCTCAGTTACAAACCACAAATATAAAACTATAGCACCAGAGACACCATTCATCCGTCCAGAGAGGACACACCGGGACATTCTGGTGTCCCTGGTAGACATCCTGATCAGATGTCCAACTCGCCTCTTTATTTAGGTTCTGGCTACAGGTGGAGGTAGATGATGCAGTAAATCTGACGTCCTGAATCGTCTGTCCGTTTCCTGCTGCCTCCTAAACCAAACCAAAGGCATCATAAACGTTTATTAAGCCGCCTGTCCGATTCCTGCTGCGTCACAAACGTTTTTTATGAAGTGAGCCCCAGCTGCGGCTGAGTGGCGCTAGGCGGTGGTGACCCGGTTCTGGATGGTCCAGCTCTGGCCGCTGCAGCGCTGGATGACCAGCTGGCAGTCCAGGTATTCTCCCGGAGCGACCTCCAGACATCGCTGCGTAGCTTTGTTCCTTATTTCTCGGCCCTGTGAAGATTTGATCAAACAATAATCAATCAAGTTTATTAGTACAGCACGTTTCATCATACAGTCAACGATGGTGAAAACCAGACATTACATTCTGTCATGTTTCAGGGTTTAGTCTAAGGAACTCAGCAGCTGCGTTTCCATTAACAAATTGAAATTACAAAAATAAATGTACTTAATGGAAACTTTGAAAAATCTCATGATTTTTTTAATTAAAACTTTGTGAGATGGGATAAAGGATTTTTTCAAATAGATGTATTTTTCTGAACTGCAGTGGAAGCATTGTGATCAACAGCCAGATGATACTACTGGCAGAAACGACAAAGACAATGACAGGAAGTGGAGGAGGATGATGGTTTGTTTTTGTTTTTATTTGATGTGCAGCCGGCTCCACCAGATCTCTCACGGCATCAGTTCATGAAACGTTGTGAGTCTTTAGAACGTGCGGAATCCATCACTCTTCTGTAAAATGGCAGAAGTTCCCCAAAACGCTGCATATGTAACTGCTACCAAGTAGGCGGGGCTTGTTGCCCCAACACCTCCTCTGATTGGCTGATAGACGGTGAGCGCTGGCGCCACAGCTGAATTATGAATATAGCTCATGTGTTTACATCCGTCGCTGCCTTTATTTTAAAATCTTAATGTGTGAACAAGCCGGATATTTATTATTATTATTCAAATGTGATTTTAATTTTATGTCCTGTTTAATGGAAACACTGCATCTGCAAAATTGCTTTTTTTGACATTACTAAAATATTGAAACAGATTTGAACACATTTGTAACAGAAACACAGATACTGTTGCAGTAATCAAATCAACTGAAGACAAATGCATAGATGAGTTTCTCTAGAAGTTGCTGGGACATTCAGTTGATAGAAGGCCGACTTTATAACTGCCTTTCTGTGGCTCTGAAGGCTCAGGTCAGAGGTCATCAAGATCTCTAGTTTCTAGATGTAATAACTGAAGCGGTGTGTTGACTGTAGAGCTAGATTCCTCTTTAGGTCCAAAGATAAAAACTTCAGTTTTCATTCGTGAGATGATTTCAGATCACAGACAGAAAGAGTTCCCATTATTCCCATTGCTCCCATGGTTCCCATTGTTCCCATTGCTCACTTCATTCCCATTGTTCCCATGGTTCCCATTGTTCCCATTGCTCACTTCATTCCCATTGTTCCCATGGTTCCCATTGTTCCCATTGCTCACTTCATTCCCATTGTTCCCATGGTTCCGATTGTTCCCATGGTTCCCATTGCTCACTTCGTTCCCATGGTTCCCATTCTTCCCATTGCTCCCATGGTTCCCATTGCTCCCATTGCTCCTATGGTTCCCATGGTTCCCATTGTTCCCATTGTTCCCATTGCTCCCATTGCTCACTTCGTTCCCATTTTTCCCATGGTTCCCATTGTTCCCATTGCTCCTATGGTTCCCATGGTTCCCATTGTTCCCATTGCTCCCGTTGCTCCCAGCTCACCTGCCTGAAGTCCCAGTTCATGTGTAACCAGGCAGCGGTTCCGGCTGTACTTATGGGATCTCAGGCCGCCGATGATGATTTCACCCTCTGTGTTGTAGAAACATTTCTGCAGGACGGAAACACGCTCACGTTTTGGACTATGTATTAATTCAGTATGAGCTGGTGTTAATGATTCTGTGTGATACCTGCGGTTCCTCGGAGTGGCACTCGTATAAGACCGGGATGCTTCCAGGAACGTCTCCCTGATCCACACACTGCTGCTTTACCAGGCTGTTCTGCAGCTGAGCAGAGATCCGGGTCACCGAACCATCCGAACATCCTGAGTACATTTATCTAAAACTAAGGCCTTAAAATGTCTTAAAATCATTAAAATAAAAGTTTAAGTGGACTTAAAAGTAATAATTTAATTACTATTTTTAATGTTTATGTCTTAAATTTGGTCGTGGTAGAACTAGCTAATCTCATATATTTTGCTTTTTTTGTGTCGGGGATGCTGATGTGGCTTGAGACGGTGGAGACTGAGGCTAATGCTCCCAGGCTAGCTAGCAGGGCTATGTTAGCAGTGTTATCAATACATAGTATTTGATCTATATCTATAATGGGTAAATATTAATTAATTGCCAGCTGACGAGAAGTTTGTTGTTGCTACTGATTATAACAAGTTTTGCATTTTGTTATTTTCTCATTTTCACAAGAAGTTCTATATCTCATAATGAGAAACTTTCATGTTAAAACAAAATATAAAACTTGTTCAAATGGAAGTTTCTCCTCGACTTGTTAAAAAGGCATGAAGGTTTTCTCTAACACTTCTTCTCACTGTTTCTAAGAGGAGTTGCTGTTTTACTGTTATGACTTCTCTTAGTTAAAACAGAAGATATTGTGGTTTTAATAAGATTTAATAATGAGATTCATAAATTAATGGCATTTAAATCTCATTATAATGAGAATGTTTTCTCATTTTAACAAGATACTGCTCCCACATTTATTTCCAAGTTCTGCCAGTTAAACACTTCAACAGGATCCCTCAAACATTTATAGCTTTTTTCAGTCTTATATTTAATTCAAGGTGGGATCAAAAATTTTAATTCAGTTAATTTCTATTCACAACAAATGTTGTCTTGAGGCACTCTACAGTAAAAACTCATTTTTTGGTATAAAAAAGGTCTTAAAAAGTCTTAAATTGTACTTGTGTAAAGCTGCAGATACCCTGTTCATGTATTTTTAAAAGCATATTAATGTGAAGTAGCTGAACTCCTGAAACGGTTCTCACCACACCGTAGCCCAGGATGTCATCCCATCGCTCCAGACTCGGGTAAACATTCTCCAGGTACCAACTGAAAGGTTTGCATTTCAGCTGCTTCCTCAGTTTTTTCCTCTTGGAAACGTCACCGATATCGATACCGTGGTCCTGTTTACAATAAACACCAAACAGCTGCACATTAAAGTTTTACACTTGGCAAAATTCATGCTAAAAGATTAAACTAAATCAGGTGAATAATTATTTTAATCATTACAGTGAAGCTAATGTTCCTGCATTTTGCCTTTTTTCCTGTTTATTATTTATCCACAAATTAAAGATTAGAGTTAAAATTCAATTCAGATTATAAGAGGTAAAACTCTCTGAACACATTTATTTACATTCTTGTTAAAAAATGAGACTCTTTGTGTGACTGGTGTCCTAAAGAAACATTTAGCATTTCAGTTCAATTCAAAAGTACTTTATTGATTGAAACAAATCAATTGATTTTAATTAACTACATAAAATGAATTAATAATTCCATTTGTGGAGCAATAATTACTTATTGTTACCTAAAAAATAAGTAATTAATATTTATTGTAGTTACTATTATCATTATCACATTAGTACCACTGAATATCTTGATAAAACTTTCAGTGTAAACTTCAACTGGAGCTTTTTTAAAACACTCATTTTAACTAAAAACCCCACCTGGTCCTGACGCTGAAACCTTTTATCAAAAAACTTGAGTTTCTTCTAAATGTATTGGTTTTAATTCCAATTTGCAAAACTCTATGGTCAGAGCAAAATGACCATAAAGTCCATTTGAAATTTCTGAATTTGAAAAAAGTAAAAAAAAATAAATAAATAAATAAAAATGTCTCGCTACATTTTCTGACATTTAGCAGAGAAATAATTTCAGTGATTCTAACTGACTGAAAACAAGAGACATTCGGTCTGATTAACTTCAGACAGATAA